AGGTCTTCTCCATATCACATTTCTGTAGTGGGATTTTCTAGGAAGAAAAGTTGTGTTTTCTATAGTAACCAATTACACTACTTAGCTTCCGTTTGTAAGTAGTATTTCGTGAACTTCAGTACAGTATATATATATAATATTATTATTATTAGTTATAAAGGCTATAAAAAATTGTTATCATAATTACATTATAAAACCATATTGCTCCTAAGAGCTGTGCTCACCCTGTTTATTTATGGTGAGGAAGGACTTATAGTCGAATTTTCCCGCAATAACATCAGTAGACCTAACATTTCTATTAAAGTTCATATAGCTTTGCTTCACGAAAGGTATTATCATACAGAATAGACTACTGTTTCGAATTTAGTTATGCTATAAGCACCCTCAGTAGGACTCGAAACATACTTGCAAACGAAAAAAGTATTAATGTAGTTGATTGTAGTTGCAAACACTAATTTGCTTCATCGAATCTCCACCCCAGAAATGTGACATGAGGAAAGCCTACGTTTTCTTGATATTCACTTCTGCCCCCCTAGTGTCAGTGTGCCTTATTGGTTAAATTGCCGATACTACACGCTTACCGGGTTCGAGTCCCATTGGGGGTACTGATTAAACCAATTGAGGTGAGGCCGATACTACAACCCAGCCCAGTCTGGATGGGAATACCATTTGAGTAGTGTGAATATGCGAAATTCAATGGAATCATGAGGTCTACTAATGGCATTGTGGAAAGCTTCATCTACCATTCCTTTAACCCTCTAAACTAAATGTCTCCTTGCGGGGAAAAATGCCTCCAACTGAACGTCGCCATACTACCATGATAAGAATGAAACAATGCTTTCCACTTGTCAAGAAAGGAGTAGAAAAGGATGTTGGCATATCTCTTTTAAGAACTAAGTCAGAGATTTGCTGTGACCTTGTTGAGAAGTAAGGGCAAGATAGTCGGTATACTCCTAACCACCTTCGCTACGTAATGCCTTGATCTGCATACATTTTTTCGACGAGGACTTTACCTCCCTCAGCACATTAAACCACCAAGTTTTTATTCAACCATTACTGTAGGAATAGAAAAATTTCCCATAAAAAATAAGTAGCATAGTCGATTGCGACGACAATTAAATGTTTGCCTCGTCGGTATCTTAAAAACGTGATTTAAGAAAGGTCTGATTCGCTTTGATATATTCGTATCCATGGCCGCTTTGTGAAGTGTTAACGTCGCCATTATGCTCACGACCTGGTATCAAATCCCGTTGGAAGATATGATAAGTTAGAGACGAGGTTGTAGCTACATTCCATACCGAATGAGAACACCTAATATAAATAGCATTAAATAACTCGTTTTAATTCACGCTATTTCTCTGTAATCGGATTCTTTCTTTTTGAGAATATTTGGACCCTCTAACCAGTTCAGGAATTTTGATGTACTGAAGGCGTCTTGGTATAATCAACTGCCATAACTGCGTCGCTAAATTTCGAATTACCATATAATTTAAAAACTGATTTAAAATTACCATTGACATTAAATTATTCAGGGCTTTATCGAAACCCAGCTTTTCGTTATATGTGCTTGATTATAAGGTTAACCACTGTTGTAAAATTTATTTGTTTTGGTATTTTGGGTTATTTAACAGAATTTTACTTTGCTCTTAGGCTTATGATTTTAATGAATTCCACGAGACACTCAGAATTTCATTTTTGTCAATTTGGCCATTAATAGGGTGCGTTTATGAATAGATAGTTAATAAAGAATTATCTTTATGCTCTGTCTCTCGGAAATCAAAGCTCTACTTTGATCATTTTTTACTTTAAGGAGTAGGAATTTCTAAATTGCCCGCAGCCGGCCACTTGAAATAAAACAAATTTCCCTTACCTCCAGGCTGGGATTATCTAAAGTAGAGAATATTGTCGAAATCGGCAGACTGGCCTCGTGGCTCTCGGCCTATTTGGCATGCGCTTGTACCCGTTCTTGCATGCCTGTATGCATACAGCATCAATCAATCTTTCGCGTTCTATGATTGACACTGAACCGGGAGAGCCTAAAACTGTCCCATTTGCAGCGCCACCCTGTGGCCGGACACACACAACTTTCTTCAGCCCTCATAGACAAGGACCGAGTAGGCGACTTACGTCTCCCTGCCTCGACGACGAGGCCTCTAGTGGAGGAGATCGAGGGCTTGGTCTATGGGCCCACTATCGAAACTTTTCCATGTCCAATATGTCTCCGTAGCTATGACGGCTGACACTTGGAGTTATTTTTCTAGCCACCTCACTCCGACCCCACACCTTGCACTGGTGTAACTGGGTGGTACAAATGTTTATATTCACACGTAGCAAATTCAGTACTTTTACACTTTATAAAGGACTTGATTAATGGACAATATACTCTAACATTTATGCATGCCACAAAAATCCTATACGAAGATTATTGGGGTTTGGATGGTTGAACTCATACTCAACCTAAAACGATTTTCATTTGTGAGAAATTGCATAATGATGCGATTCAGGCGTCGATCTTACGTTGTGCAACATCCATTTGGCTTCTCTTATCCCGACTTGATTGTGGTAGGTCTTCGCCTAGCTCTCAACAATACCCTCAACAAGATTCGAGACCAACTCGAGCGCATCGTATACAGACTAGTTACCACTCCGCACACACATCCACAATTACTGATGTGCCATGGAACGGAAGTTACTTTTAGGGCAAGCCAGGCCTCACCAAAATCGCATATTTTGGTGCTATTGCCGATAAGGCAAACATGCATTTTCCATTGCACTCGGCGACGCTAATTATTTTCGCCATGAGTATACCTCAAAATTATCATAAATCTTTGAAAAATAGCTTAGTCATTCTTCATTAATTGTTGCTTTACATTTGGGCCTAATATTAATAGCATTAAATTACTCCTTTAAATTCACCATAATTCTCTATAACCAGATTTCCTAAAAATGCGACTAATTTCTTTTTGAGAATATTCGGACCCTGCATGAGACATTCGCCCTCGTTTCGGGCGAAAATGGAATGGACTTTCGTCCGTTATGTCAGATGGAACTGATTTTGTCAAAAGTATCAAGTTAACATTATCTCAAGAACGTGAATCAGCCATCGTTTTTTGGGGAGATCGACCTACAAAGCTCTAAATCATGTGCAATCATGCAAGATGAGAGTCTCCACGACAATGATATCTCAAGATATTCATCGAAACCCCGTTATTTGTCTGGTGCTATCACCCACTTCAGGCATCGGCAGAATATGAAGGAACAACTCTAAGCAAACTATTGAACTTGGTTTTATTTCGAATGAGTTCTTGGTGAAGAGATTCTAGGTCGGTTCCACCAGAAGACGACGGTGGATTCCTCTTGACCAGCTGTCGATTAGCTTTACTGGAACACTCACGGTGGCGCTGTTTCCGATATAATCTCTTTCGATTCCGCTGAAAAGGTGCTAAGCTTTCGTGCGTGATATGACGAACATCATCAGAGCAAGGTTCCATCGACACAACCTGGTAAATTCCATATCACATTCTTGTAGTGAGATCGCCGATGAGGAAAATTTAAATATTTTTTATCACCATCGACCACATTACTTGCATTTATCTAAATTTACTTTCGAAACTAACAATAAATCTTGAATAAGCGTTCCACTTCAGCTGAT